CATTAGTATTTAACCCATTCATAATATTGTTCAACCACCACCTCTGTCTAGTTCCAAAATATTTTCATCATCCGAAAAGGAAACCCTGTTGCCATGAAGCAGCTGCTCTCCACTACCCCTCCCACCAGGCCCTGGCAACCACCTTGTGGCTATTGTAAATAATGCTGCTGTGAACATGAATGTGCACATATTTATTCAAATACCTGTGTTTAATTCTTTTGAGTATATACCTAGGTATGGAATTGCTGTGTCCTATGATAATTCTATGTTTAACTTTTTGAAGATTTGTCACGCGGTTTTCCACAGTGACTGAACCATTTTACATCCCCACCAGCAGTGTACAAGGATTCCAGTTTCTCCACATCCTCGCCAACACTTGCTACTTTTCATTTTTTTGATTATAGCCAGCCTAGTGAATGTGAAGTGGCCCCTCACTGTGGTTTCGATTTGCATTTCCCTAATGATCAGCGATGTTGAACATCTTTTCATGTCCTTGTTAGTTAGCCATTTGTCGATCTTCTTTAGAAACATGTCTGTTCATGTCCTTTACCCATTTTTTAATTGGATTGTTTGTCTTTTTGTTGTTGAGTTGTTATCTGGTTTTTGATGGTTGGTTATAAATAAAACTTGAAAGCATCTCCTTCCTGTCTTATCTTTTGTTGTTCCTTTGTGTGCTAGACTGATATCAAAAATTCCCTTTTCATTTCAATAAAAATGATTAATCAAGGGGAAAGATTAAATCTTTCCTGTTTTACCCTTATTTCTCAAGAATTTATCAGCAAAATAGCATAACCATCTTAACAAAAATTAAAGCAAATCAGTGAATAATAACACCACCACTGGTCTGTTGGACCTTCATGACTTTGTTCTGCCTTACATGTCTGCTTTGTAACTCAGTAAGCCATGGGGGCTTTTGCTAGGTTTGCAGTCCATGCTGTCTTGATGGAGTGACTCGCGCTTAGATTTGAAGCTAACTTTCTCCTTGTCATTTTTTCCCTCAGGCAGTGTGTGCAGATGTCGAGAAGAGTGAGCGGGTTGTTGAATCTTGTCAGGCAGAAGTGAACAAATTAAAAAGACAAATCACTCAGAGGAAAAATGAAAAGGAACAAGAAAGAAGTAAGTTTCTTATTTTATCATTCAGTATCAAGAGAAATACTTTGTTTCAAAAATCAAATCATACAATAATTTACATGAATCCTTCTTCACTCATCAATCCCTGAGTGAAGTTGGGTGGGAGAGGGCATTCTCTTTGTCTTCAAGCTTTTCTATAGAGGTACTGTTTTTCCTACCATCCCTCACAAGTCTCTTGAACTAGAAGAAAAAGAAAATCAAAGCAAGAAAAGCTGAAGCAAAGTTAGAATAAATCCCAGGAAATGATCAGTATAGATTTGTGCCTGTCCTGACCAGTCGGATCCATTTGTGGTGGGTGGTGACGTTCGTGCCTGAGCTAACCCTGGCATGCCAAGGCTACAGGGACATGTCCTAGGTTCACTGGAGCTGCATAAAGAAGCTCCCTAAAATTCTTTTAACTATATTGGTTCATCGTCAGGGTCACAATAAAGGCTTTAAATGTCTATGTTTTGGTAACTGAATGAGCAGGTACCGTTAAGGTAAGGAACCAGCTGTTTGAATGAGAATTAGGCCCAAGACTAATAATTCCAGCACCATAGCAGACATGTTTGCTGTACGCCACCACATTTAATATTTCTAAGTAGAATTTATAAAATGTATGGCAAATAACATCAAGTGTAAAAGAGATAAGGGTGTAGCTACACCTCTCTAATTTACGAAGGATACGCATATTGTTGTTAGTTGCCGTCCAGTTGATTCCTGACTCTTGGTGACCCCTGTGTGCAGAGCAGAACTGCTGCATAGGGTTTTCAATGACTGTGACCTTTCAGAAGCACGTCGCCAGGCCTGTCTTCCAAGGCAACCCTTGGTGGGTTTGAACCACCAACTTTCTGGCTAATCGTAGCACTTAACCATTTGTGCCACCCAGGGAACTGTCAGAATACATTTAAAGCCATTAA